TCACCCGAGGTCCGCATAGGGTTACTGCCGTCGTCGGCGGCAAACATGCCGCAGAGCGGGGTAATTCAAGAGGACAACGTAGAGGCCGTCTTGACCTGCACGCCCCTCCAGTCAAGAATGTACACGGCCTTTTTGCAGATGCCACAGAACCCCTATCTCGTCAACAACCTCGTGTCGCTCGGTTTGTTGGACAGTGACACCGTCGCCAGGGCGTGGCAGTGCCTCGTTGACAGGCACGGTATCCTGAGGAGCGTCTTCATTGGGGACCCTCTGTCCGGGCATGTCTACCAAAAGGTCCTAAAGAAGTGGGTGGTCGATATCTCGTCTTGCTCTGTGCGGTGCGAAGCCGACGCCGTAGAGCACAGCAGGCGCCACCTCCAAACGGCCCGCACGAGTTTCCTACACAATAATTTGCCGCCCTTATCGATTTGCATCTACTCCCTTTCCAGCGGCATACTGTTGGCACATCTCGTCTTTGGGCATGTCCTCCTCGACCACGTCAGTCTGTATCACCTATTGGCTGACTTCGGAGCCCTCGCCCACAGCCAGACCCTGGCCCCGGACCCAGCTCCGGCCCCGGCCGGCTTCGGTACCTACACCCGCTACCTTGAGAAGAGACGCGATCTGGATGACTGCAACGCGTACTGGGCAGAACAACTAAGGGGTGTCGAACCGTGCTGCGTTCCTGTCGAGCCTGCAGCCACCGTCGTCGATCAAGGGGACCCGCATGCCACTGGGATCGTTCGGTTCTCGGTTTCACTGACAGGAGCGGTGCACGAGTTTTTGCGTGAAACCGAGACGACACTTTCGAATCTGCTGCAGCTAGCGTGGGCAATACTACTGCATCTTTACTTGGATGGGCGGCAGTCGGTGTTATTTGGGCATCTCGTGTCTGATCGAGACATTCACTTGCCACAGGTGCAAGAAATTGTAGGGCCAATGTTAGCAATGATGGTGACACGCCTGGAGCTGAATGAAGACATGCGGATAGAAGAGGCTATTAAGACCCTCCAGTCCGATTTTGCTCGAGGATTTCAACACCGGACCTTTGACTTGACGGTCGTTGAACGGGAGCTCGGGCATAGGCGGGGAGGGTTGTTCAACACCATGGTCAACTATCGCAAGGTCAAGTTTGTCAGCCATGCGGGCATAGAGGTCCGTTCGATTTGGAGCCAGGACCCTCACGAGGTAAGATGGGCAGAATGGATCGGTGCTGCAACGTGTGTGATTCGAATTACCCTGACCGCTGACCGCATCCCATGGCAGCAAATTCTGGTCCTCGCCTTCAACGACGGGGCTGTAGAGCTAGACGCTAGCATCACATTTTACAAGTCGCTCTATACGGAGGCCACAGTTAGGGTCATGAGCGAGTTTTATTGCCGGATATTGAGTGAGCTGATTCTCGATCGCCGCGCGACGGTGGGAATCATCAGGCGGCGGGTGGGCTGTTTTACGGCAAGGTCGCCGACAGAAGGCAGCAGTAACAGTATCCTACAACCTTTACCGTAGAGAAAACAAGCCAGCTGTTTAGCAAGTTGTTATAAAGCTGCAATAGCTTCGTGTGGCTAGTACTAGCAGCAGCCGCTACAGATGTAGTATACTACCTACATAGGCTACTTAGGATAGGTATTTCTACTACTTCTCTTGTCTATATATAGATTCCTATTAGCATAACTATTTTACTCTTTTATAACTAGAAGCTCTAGTTTATTACTAAACCTATAAGATATAGTAAAATTTAGACCTAGGCTAAGCGCACAAGGGCGCTCAAGTCGCGACAATGCAGCACAGTTATTAAAGGAGGCAATATTATTAAAGTAACCAGTTAGTAACTACTCCTGGTTATTAGCTAGATAGGTGATTACAGACTAATATACGGACAGTCTTACGTTTTATGCTGATATATATTTCTTATTAGTGCTCATTACTTTCCATTATGATAATTCTTCCTTCACCGAGTGAGCCCTGTACGACGCCAAGCCGCTTGTAGGTCATAACATACGGAGTACTCCTGTAGCAAGCCTGTAATTCCTTCTCTCCCCCTTTACTCCTCTCGCTTTACTCAGCAGAGAACTAACTCTAACAACACTTGTCCCTTACATTGTATTAATGAATATGCCGCTTCGCGAGACTGACCCAGATTTAGAGAATGAAATTATCGAATAGGTGAAGGTAGGAATTGTGGCCGCCCGGGATGCAAACGTAAATTTCGGGGTCCCCCAATATTTTATGCCGCTGCCGGTCCTCGTCGATGAATCTGCGGCGGAACCGCTGCCGTGCTATGAACCTACCGAGGAGACAACCGACGTCAGCGCTCACCTGTCAGCGCGCATTCATGTCTTCTACGAGAAGGTTGCCGCCGCCTATCACGAGATTAAGGATCCGCCCGCTAGCCTTGGCATCTACCTCGCGATTAAGCCACAGGAGTTTGAGACGGAGCCGGACTGGTGCCACCATCGCCGGTATCACTCGCGCCGCCTGCAGCTGCACGACCCCGAGACACTGCCGGATCTGCCCTTTGCAACCAGCCTGACCATCAAGTCAATGTCGCTCGGCTCTGGCGCCGAAAACGCGACAGACATACGCCCTCTGTCCCCCCTCGTGCCGCTGCAGTGCCTCGTCCGCCTGCCGGCTGTCCAAGAGTGGAATGCCCCCTGGTTGTGGGAGCGGCCCATGCCCGCCTGCATGCCGAGCAGGGTGATGCGCGAACACTACACCTGGCCGTGGGAGGGCCCGCTGCGAGACGCCCGGCACGAGTTTGGCGCCGCAATCATGAACCAGGAGAAGCACCTCTGCGGGAGGACGATTCCCGCCAGCCTGACCAGGGTCTCGCTGCACGTCTGGCCGTTCTTCTCGCTCCCCCAGCACGACCAGTCCGTGGCCCGGCCGAACCTGATCCATTCTGCAGATAAAGACCCGGTGTCGGTCGGTCTGTGCAAGCTCGGTGCGCAGCTGAGCCTGTTCGACGTGCGCGCCGTCGTCACTCCAGACCTATTCCCCAGTCCCGAGGCACCAGCCGAGCAGCAGTGGTCGCAGATGCGGCGGTTCCGGCTCGAGTTCCATACCCTCCGTCCAGACGGGCGGTGGTACTTTGTCGGCGCCGGTGGCGAGGATCCGCACGACTCTGAACAAGGAGGGTACAAGATCTCAGACATAGAGCACTACACCCGGCAAACTGACCCGGACGAGGATATGGAACTCGACAATGAGTACGGCGACGACGCGGAGTGCTTTGTGGAATACCGTCTAGACATGTTCCGCACTGAGCCCAGCAGGGATCGGATCGAGCCCCTGCTTGCAGCGTTTGCCAGGTCTCTGACTCGCGATAATATGCCGAGCCTCGACGACGCCGAGCTTTTCACGCACCTGTGGTGGTACCCTTCGGACAACAGAGAAGTGGAGGGGTATAGTCTGCCGATGAAACTGGGCCACAGATGGGGTGTCAAGTTCATTGCCGGGCGTAGTAGTGAGAAGGATAAGGAGGACAGAGATGCTGCTGTTGCTTCTGCTGCAGCACCAACAACACCGGTGGTACAGTGGCAGGTTGGCGAGTGGAGGCCCGGCGAGGAGGTCATGAGTCTGTTTGAGAGCCTAGGACAGCAGGAGTGGCTTGAACTCGAGTGGAACAGGTACAGATCTACGAGGGGCTGCGACTTGTTGGAAAACATCGAGTCTCCGCCCATATAGTTGGGGCGGGCAACCGGGATCATTTGTGATCATTGCTCTTTTGTTTCACGCCATTGCGCCTCCCTTGTCCCATACCTCTCGAGGGGTGATACTTGGGGTAGAGAGCCGTGGGCAAGGACTACGTACTTTATACATCGCCCTTCTATTCGTCTTTCAAATCCTGTCTACTAGCTACCATGCGTTCTCTTTGTCCCTGGTTTCCCGGTTACATTGCTTCCCCTACGGTCCCTTTGTGGGTTGAGTTAGCTGTGTAGGTCCCATGCCAGAGCCCATCCCCTGGTGGCGTAAGCAGATCTTCCGGAAGAGGTCTGCCGTGCGAAGGAAGGCCTCAAAGCCTTTTAGATCGGTCGTTAGTACCCCTGAAGTGTCGCTGAAGAGACCCCATCAGTCCTATGGGTTCAAGCAGACGAGTTAGGTAGGGGGTGGGCCACCGCTGCCTCGCTGCCGGGGTCGTTAGGCACTAGTGGACAGTAGTCTGCGGTAGGGCGAGTTCACGCGGGCAGGAGAAGTGCATTCTAAGCCTAAGCTGGACGTAACGTTTTGTTGCCTCTACGTCCTACCCGATGTCTATGCTAATAGCGTAACTGCTCTCTACGAAGTCGTCTAATACTAGAGAGCTAATCCTTTATTAGGGATTCAAGAAGAAGTAGTTTAATTTTAATCCTTTTAGAAATAGCTTGTTAACTATGTAATCACAGCAGCGGCGAGGGTTAGAGCGTATGCTCATCGTCGTCAGTAAAGCATCCTAAACATATACACATACAATCGTCTCAGTAGATGTTAAAGATGGACAGTATCAGGTAGAAAGTAACAGCAAAAAGAACACATGTCAAGTTACAGACCAGACTTCTATGCCAAGATAGATTTATCTAGGGACTGACAACAAGACTAATGATATGATTTTATATACTTTCTAGATTATTAGGGCTTAGGCCTAATTATTGTATAATAATCAAGCGTTTTTTATACACTTGTTTAGCTATATAATGCTAAATATAGGGAGACTAACAATGTTATTCTAAAAAACGTTATTGTATAGTCAATAAGTGGTAAGAGATTTGTAATTAAAATTCCTGTGTAATTATAGATGTTTAAGACAAGTCATTCCACCCGCCCTTTAGGCCTAACGAGAGATTTACAGCTGTTGCAAAACAAAATCATAACCTTTAAATTACTCTCTTCTCTTAACCTCAGGAATCTCCATGGTGGAAACTATCTCCTTAATAGCGACATTATCCTCACACGTTGCAGGGTATTGTAGGCCCTCCGCCCGCGTAGTAATTAAATTACATGACAGATTCTAATGGTTCTTTCTAGCTAGAAACGCCCACACAGTACGCCTGGCCAACCCAGAAGTTCGTCCCGCAGTCCTTGGACACCGCCGGGTTCCAGGCGTAGAACTGGTTCACGGTGATACCGTTATCCGCGGCCATGGACCCGCAGCTGTTGCCTTCCGCCACGACGTCCCACTTGTTACCGTCGGCAGGTTGGCCGGTGTGCGTGGGACCTGGGGGCGTGGGCTTGGCCGTCGTCGCGGTCGAGGCGGACTGCGAGGTCGTGATGCTGATGCCTTGGCCCTGCCTGTGCGTGCAGTACGCCTATTCGAGCCAGAAGTTTACGGTACAGTCGGCGCTGACGGCAGGGTTCCACTCGAGGAACATTGCAAGGGAGATCCCGGCGTTGTCGGCGACGGACTGGCACGAGTCGCTGCTGGACACGACGTGCCAGCCATCGCAGTCTCCCGGCTGGCGGTCGTGCGTCGGGGCCGGCGGCTGGGGCCCGGTCCCGGTCGCGGTGGGCTGTGCGGGGTCCTCGGTGGTGATTTGTGTGGGTGGTAGACCCCAGGAGCCGCAGTAGCGCACGTCGACTTCGAACACGCACGCCAGGTCCGTGACGTTCGTCGCATGCGAGTTCCAGACGACGAAGGTGTCGAAGCCGATGTTGTAGTTGGCCGCTGCAATCTCGCAGTTGCTGTTCCAGTAGCCGAACACGTCGGGCGAGTACTGATAGTCGTCGCCCTTGAGGTAGAAGCAGCAATCGTCGCGCACACCGTTGGCCAACGGGAGCTGGGTCGGTCTCGGATCCAGGGTCATGGTGGCGTTGGGCAGCATGGTAAAGGGGACGCCGGTGAAGGATTCATTGGGATCAATGGTGACGGAGACATATCCTGGACGGCCGGGATAGTTGTTGATGTCACCGACCGCCTGGATACAGTAGCTCTCCTTAGCAAGAAGGTTGGTTCAGTTGGAGTTGATGCTTGTGCTGAGGAACATGAAGTCCTCGAGAGAAATGGCAAACTTGAGAGTCAGTAGGTTGCAGTAATCGCCAGGCTCTATCTCGTACCAGCGGCCGCAGGGCTTGTCAGATCCAATGGCAGTATTGGAGAGGATGGGAGCAGCACTGGTAGGCGTTACAGGAGGAACACCCGGTGTTTGAGCAGGTGGGAGCTTGGGTCCGGGCGGTTCGATGCAAAGTGTGGTGCCGTTCATCATGTCGAGGTTGGAACAGACTGGGTTAATGCCGGGGTTCCAAGCCAGCAGCTGTGGCTCTGTGATATTGGCAGCCGTAGCGATGACTGAGCACGTCGTGTTAACTGCCGCTGTGATAGTTTTGCAAGTGTTGGTGATACAGAGAGTACCCGAAGTAGGAAACTCATAACAATAAGCACCGAGGTGGTTGTCAGACAGCATCCAGGCCGTACCAACACTCTGAGCCTTGGAGATACTGTAGCAATCATCGCCGCCCTGGATCTGATACGTGATGCCGTCGCAGACCGACTTTGTTGGCTGCGGCTAACTGGTGAAATAGTCAATGGTAGACGTGGTATCAGGCTTGCCTGTGATGCCGCAGCTGGACGTCAGAGTTTGGTAGATGGACTCGCTTGCCACGACAGGGCCGTCAAAGTATGGTGATCCAGATCGCAGTCGCAGTCTGGCTGCGAGACAGGGGTCGCAATCCGCGGGCTTGACAGCGTCTTCAGGAAGTTCATTGATATAGTTGAAAGCGGAAACTGACAAGCTGTTAGTGAAAACGTGCTAGCGAGTCCAAAATTGGCCATTGAAACATGTTGAAGCTCGTTCGCGGAGCGGAAGACTCACCTCCAGGGTCGGCGAAGAAGCTTGCCAATGCCGCAATGGGGCCGTAAAAGACATCGTTCTCCTTGAGACACGTGAAGCTATAGGTGTACCGGCGGCTGGCCGGGATCCCAATGGGTGATGAATCAAGGTCATTCTCGTCAGGAATGACAATGTCATTGCCACAGGCAGACCGGACCGAGCTCTCCCAAGACTGGAGCGCAGAATCGCAGGCAGTGGTACACACGCGGGTTAGCGTAGTGGGAGGGTAGTAGAAGTCGCGGCAGAGGGCCGGCACGAGAGGATCGCAAGCGATATCAGCCATGAGGGCCGCAGAATATGCCGCATTGGGATCCTCGGGAAGACTGTCGTCGTAGAGCATCTTGACAGCGGAGACGGGGCTCAGGCTCAGAAGAGTTCCGAGCCCAATGACACAACGACTGAAGGCCACCATGATTTGATGAACAGTGTTCTCCTGTCGTTCTCTCATCACGAGTTAAAAAGGATGAACGGCCAGTGGATAAGACTAGCACATCCGAACAAGGGAGGAAGGGAGTGTTGTATCCACCCTGACACAAGGACCAACAGGCGACCGGAATATTGATAAGTAAGTCAGAAAGTAACAATGATTCCAGAGTAACGGAGGTTCGCAACAGTTTCCAGGTCTGATGGCAGATTTGGTCCAAGGGAGTGCGGCCGATTCAACTTGTCGTCGTCCTGTCCGAGACGAGACAAACATAACCGCTGGCCCAATGCAAGAAAAAGGGTCACAAGAGGCCGCTCTAAACATGACAAGGAGCATCAGCCTAATAGCCTCCAAGGATAATCTAGCTAGCGGGAGGATTCAGGTACCATAATTAGGGTTACATACAACTTGCATCACCTGCCTAAGATGGAAGCCATATTACCTAGTGGTTAGGTGAGATTCTCATGCACCTTCAATTACTCCTTGCAATTCATCACTGTGGTTGTTGCGAATGCTTGCAGGTTGTCTCCTCTCCGTGTACTGCGTGCAGCTGGGCACATAGTAACTTGCTGTCAGAAGTCAGAACTTAGAACTATACCACTAGGCCATATGTGGTTATAAAGTAGATCCCGGGCTCGTTTAAATAAGGCTATTCTGTGTACCTACATTAGTTCTGTCACTGCGCTAATTAAGTCTCCGCCTTAGTTTAATTCAACCATGATGGCCAACAGTTAATAGTTTATTAGAACTTGCAGGAAGGGCCGATTGAAAACCGCGTGATAAGTTTTAGGAACGCGCGAAAAGGCTTGGTGACTTCAAGAAGCTCCTGCGTTTAGTAAACACATAGACTAAGAAAGACTAAACTCAGGTCAGCCTAAATCACAGGGAGACAAGTGAAACGGACTGTTGGCCGTCTCGCTAAGACATGGGGCTTAATATTGTTCACCTGAAGGGTCCCACCATACCTTCAGCAACCAACACAATTTCACACAAAACCTCACTCGGAGTCACTCCGAGAGGACCCTCTCTACCTAAGAGCTAAGGATAAGCAAGTATCTTCGAGCGGCTGCATGGGAAAGTCGTACGATGGCTTTTTGACAAGCACATCTTGCCCCATGCTGCTAGCCCTGCCAGAACCCAGCCTGCCGAATCGAGTAACGCGTGTCCGTGGACCGTCCCGTCCCCTGTGGATCGGCAGCAGTTGAGTGCAGCGGAGCCAAGCCCTCGCTGCCTAGAGCGGCTCAGCCTTGCCACCACGAGGTTTTGAGAGTGGGGCTGGAAATGTGTTTAGAATTGGGGTTGGGTTGCTCCAGAACATCATCCAAGCTCCAGTAACTCTTGTTAGACAACGCTCTCCGAGCTCTTCTCCCTCTCTATTCCTAGCCAGTTTCCCTACAAGGTATATGGGCTAGCTGACTTTGTTCGTTGGCTTTGAAGATGCTCTTTTCCTTCCCCCCTCAACTCTCCAACCCCCTTTCCCTCTGCCATCGGGGATCACATTCTTTCGAGCATCCTTTTTGTGTTGCTAGGTATTAGATTTGCCAAGAGTTCGGCCCAAAAAGCCACAATGGGACCATGGCCTAAGCTTTCATGGAGCTGTATGCTTATTCTATCTACGTTCATTACCTTCTAACCACGAGTCTTGGAGCAGTCATCAATGCAAGGCCTGGTAGCGCTAGCGCGGTTGTGGTACCCGAATTCCTTGACGCGTGCCGTGCCGTTGTCTCGTGAGTAAACTTCAAGTTATCAGTTATGTCCCAAACTTGGCCCAGTCAAGCTGCATATACTGACTTGCTATAAAAGAATCACAGACCCTTTGATTACTCGGCTAAGAATCGTCGTGGCCATGAGCTGCTAGTCTGCAGTGCTGCCAGCAGCCCTGTTCCCTTTGCGAGCAGCGACAACAGCGGTATCGTTGACGTTGACGGGCGCGAAGTCCCACCTGCGTCACTCGAGACTGGCGTGTCTCTGGTAGGGCGCACCGAGCTGTCTTCTCTTTTTGGGAGACAGGTAGTCGGCGGCGACGACTATACCTGCGGTCCGGACCGCCCTTGTAAGAACAAGGCCTGCTGTCCCAAGAAGACTGGCCAGTGCAACTACGGCGAAGAGTAGGTCCCCATTTCACATTGTTCTGGAATAGGGCTAACAACCTCTGCTTCCCCCATAATAGAGCCTGCGGCACATCTGGAATCTCTCCCAATGATATATGCTGGTCTAATTGCGATGCTAAAGCAGAGTGCGGCAGGAACGCAGCTATCCCCGGCCAGAAATGTCCCCTGAATGTCTGTTGTGGCAAGTGGGGTTTCTGCGGAATGACAAGGTAGGTATCACAAGTGCAAAGAATCAAAATACCTGCAGAGCAGACCAGTGTTGACCATTGTGGAAACTAGCGACTTCTGCGAAAAGGAGGACAATGGAGCCACGGGCGGCTGCCAGTCCAACTGCGATCAGCCAGGTCCTAAGAACAAGGCTTCTGATCAACTCAACCGTGTCATTGGATACTACGAGGTATGGAGACACGACTCCAAGTGTCAGGATATGGTAAGTATAGTCGACTCCCTAGCAGCGATTATGTCTCGCTAACCGTGAGATATTAGGGATTGGACGACATTCCTGTCAACTCTTTGGCCCATCTATATTTCTCGTTTGCCTTCATCACGCCGGACTTACAGATAGTTGGCATGGACAACCTGCCCGACAAGCTGTTTACAGACTTCATCAATCTCAAGAAGAAGAACCCTGCGCTCAAGATGGTTATTGCTATTGGCTTGTGGACGCACAACGACCCGGGCCCTTTGCAAAAGGTATTTACTAACATGGTCAGCACGAAGGCCAGCCGTTCCAAGTTCATCGGTAACCTCATGTCCTTCTTACGCATGTACGCCTTTGACGGTGTTGACTTCGATTGGGAGTACCCTGGAGCGGATGATCGCGGTGGTGTGCCCGAGGACGGCGTGAACTTCACCCAGTTTCTTAAGGAGCTCCGGGATGAATTCGAGAAGCAGCCCGTGAAGTACATTGTGTCCTACACGGCGCCAACGAGTTTCTGGTATCTGCGCCACTTTGATCTCAAGTCGGTTGAATATACCGACTTTATCAACGTAATGTCATACGAGTAAGCGATTTCTTCTTCTTTTTCTTTTCTCTGTGTCCTGTATACACCCGGACAATCGCTTTCCTCGTACCTCGACTGATTACATATATAGTCTTCACGGTGTCTGGGATCGTGACAACCCGATCGGGTCTTATATCTGCGGCCACACCAACTTAACTCTGGAGAAATGGAGTCCCGGCCAACAAGCTGAACACGGGTCTCGGTTTCTATGGTCGCGCGTTCCAGCTCGCTGATCCGTCCTGCAACAAGCCTGGCTGTCTTTTCAAGGGAGGCGCCACCAAAGGGGCGTGCAGTGGCGAGTCTGGCATTTTGAGTTACCGCGAGATCCAGGAGGTCATCAAAGTCAACAAGATCAAGCCCGTCCACGATAAGGAAGCCGGTGTCAAGTACATTACCTGGAACACTGACCAGTGGGTGTCATTTGACGACAAGGAAACGTTCAAGCAGAAGAAGGACCTCGCGGCCAAGCTCGGCCTCGGAGGCTATCTGATGTGGGCCATCGACCAAGATGACGCCGAGATGTCTGCGCTAGCTGCCGTCTTAGACCCCAAACCCTTGGGTGACTTCAAGTCGGACGATAAGGGTGACGAGAACTGGACGGGCACCAACGAGATGTGCTACGTTACGAGCTGCGGCATCACAGTCTGCAAGGCAGGCGAGGTCAGGATCACGCACCAGAAGTGCGGCAAGGGCAAGGAGAGCGCTCTCTGCTGTCCCTTGTCGGGAGCCCCTGACCCCAGGTCATGCAACTGGCGCGGAGGCGCGACCCGGTGGTGCAACAGCTACTGCAAGGACGACGAGGTTATGACGCACATGAGTAAGTACGGCGACGGCCACGACTGCTGGGACGGGCAAATGGCGCACTGCTGCGAGAGCTCCCTGGGGGAGAAGAATATCTGCAAGTGACGCGGCGTCGGCGAAAAGTGCCACAGCGGCGAGGTGCCTCTACCTTCTCCGGGACCCTCTTCGACATCCTCGACGACGTCGCCAAAGTCATCTTGCGGGTCGTCGGTCGCGCGTCTCCGCTCGCGGTCCTTACGGGTCTAGTCCTGCTTGAGGTTCTCGACGAGCTGGATATCGACACTAAGAAGCTATACTGCTGCCCTGAGAAGGAGATTTCCAAGTGGAAGAACTGCACCTGGTACGGTAAACCTGGTAATTGCTTCGATGGCCACTGCCCGGATATGAGGACGGCGAAGATCACCGACTCGTACTTTGGCGGTAGCGACAACTGCGGCGCCCACTTGGACCGTGTCCGCACATTCTGCTGCGAGTCGGACGGCGAGCCCCTTTTTCTACCCGTAACCTGTTTGAACACCCGCCCGAGGGCGGATCTGACACGGACTTCATCCTTGAGACAGATAAGACTTCGGCCGGCGGCGACGATGACCCTAATGAGGCCGCTTTCCAGTTCGTGGTTCTCGTCTCGCCCGAGGCGCTTCAAATCCCACTTGACAAGCGCGACGGGTCCAGCTGGGTCGTCTTTGACTGCAACGGCTCCATCTCCGAGGGCGAGCACACAGTCCGCATGGTCTGCAATGACCACACCCCGGGCAGCAACTGCCACAAGATTGGACTCGGCCACGGTGTCCCAGGAACCATTCTCTAGATGCCCAAGGGCTGCGGCCCAGGAAAGTACGCCGTCGCCAAGAGCATGACACCGGCCCCTGGCAAAGACCACGCCAAGCTTCTGCCTCGTCACCTGTCTCACCTCGCCAGCCTCGAGCCTGTCGTCTACGAATTGACTTTCGACTACGATTTCCACCGCGTGCCGCGCGACCTCGGCAATACCCAGATGCGCATCGACTACAGCAACCAGGACGACTACTGGGCAAACATTGTCGCCGGATCCGTCAGCCGGAAGCGAGACGTCCATGGTCGCAAGGAGACACGCCAAGCGCACACTTGAAGACGTCGGCGGGAACCCGGTTAGATGGCTCGAGGAGGAATTTCGGGACGACTTACATTTTGACGAGATTGCCTCGCGGGACCTTCACGAGCGGTGGTTCGGCAAGAGCATCCTCGAGTGGTTGGCAGCCCTGGTGAAACCCGAGATCAAGCGCGAGTTCACGCACAAGTACGATGACAGCATCACGGCAAAGTTGTTTGACGAGTCATGGAACTGTCCCGGATCGATAGAGGGCGTCAACTACGACGGCCACCTGGTCGGCCAGGCCATCCTCGACATCGAGGTCGAGTCCAGCTTCGGCTTCACCCTCATCGTCGAGAGTTTCACCCTGCCCCTTAACTTCGAGAATAGCTACCTGACCTTCTACAACAAGGGTAAGGTCACCGGTGTGGTCATCCTCGAGGCCCTCGCCCGCGTAACGTACGAGAAGAAGAAGATCATCCTCAACCTGCCGTTCCCTGGTGCCTCTTTCAAGATTCCCGGCATCGCCACCATCGGCCCCCAGCTCACCGTAGAGGGCAGCATCGACGCCTCCCTCGGCATGGCTGGATTGATTGAGACCAAGCTTGAGATTGCCAAGTGGGACGTAAGTATCAAAGCCCCTGTTCTCAGCAACTAGCTTCCTTACTGCCTGATTGTCTGCTTTTATTTTCTGTAAATAACCACTAAAAAACGCCAACCACTAATTCTCCGTTTTAGGTCCGCCAAGTCATGCCCGACACCAGTTCCTACAAGCCCGAGCTCATCGACAACAGCAATCCAAGCCTCGATCGGACTGGAGACTTCTCGGGGATCCAAAGACCCGAATTCTACGCGGGCGTCACAGCCTCCGGGGATGTCACCTTTAAGCTGTCGGCTGCTGCCGAGTTTGGCGTTCGCTTCGTCGAGAAGTGGAAGGTTGACCCGGCGGCCGCCTCGGTCGTGGGCGAGGTCAGCCTGACGACTAAGTTTGCGGCGGGCGTCTCGACCAAGGGAACGTGCCCGTTTACCTACGGTGTCGACATCGGCGCTCGTCTGTTCGCGAGAGCAACGGCGCCCAGTGTGTTTGGCTGGGCTGGTGGTGAGGTCCCCCTGACGGATAAGTGGAAGAAGACCGTCATCGAGGGCGGCACTTGTCCCGACCTGGGCCCGACACCTTCAAAGAAAAACCTCAGGCGAGGTCACGACCATCTTCCCATCAAGGGCCGCACTGAAGACAAGTACGTTGCCAGGAACATTTCAAGGTCGGAAGTTGCCGAGCCCGGTGCATACAGGGCCACGGCTCCGACCTGCATACGAGGCACATCTCCGAGGGGCACATGTCGATCCTGGACAAGAGAGGTGGTGTATATGGCCCAGCGTTCAGTCTCTCCGTCGGCGAGTTCTTCTGCCCTTCTCTAGACAATGAGAAAGGCACTACGTGTGAGGAAGCATACGATTCCATGGCAGCGAGCAATGAGGGCGGCGAATGGAGAGATGTGGCCGCCAAGCACAAGAGGGAGGATAAGCTGACTCCGACGTCCACCATTGATGAAAACGCCATTGCCGCACATTTCCATGCTCATCAGCGGCGGCGTAATGGCCATATCAACCACGCAGGAGGGGAGTCACTGGACGTGTTGGGCAAGAGAGCCGAACCAAAGCTGGTCAGGGCATGTCAGATGGATTGCGACATTCAGGACTACTTCCCCTCTGGCGGCCAGCTGAATGGCAAGGATTGGGGCTGGGTCGATCCCAAGAATTGCGGCGACTTTACCTTTGGCGATCCCTTGACGGCATGCGCCGCCGGCGTCGAGTATCATACCGAGCACATTCTCGAGGCCCAGATGATTGACCTGTTCTTCAAGTACCTTGACAATAAGAAGTTCAATCTGCCCGACCCAAGGCCAGGTGCGAAGCAGGGAGACTTCGTCTCCTTCTGTGCCTATGTCGACGAGCTTTGGAATGTGCCCCCTGTCGTGTGGCCAAGTGGGGACACGACCGGCGGCGTCGGCACGGCCTGGAACCCCATTATGCATATTGCGGCACAATTCCCGACAAAGACGTACAAGAGGTCCGAGTTTGTCGCCCTCGAGTCCGCTATCAATATGCCTTCCAAGAAGAACCCTTGGCGATCCCAAAATCCTTGGAATACGCACACCTGGACTAAGGGCATTGCTAATTGCGCAGAGGCCAGGGTGATTCTCCAGAAGATGCGTAGCACAATGGGCTCCCGCATCTACCAGAGCCACTCGACCATCAGCACAACTATGAAGACCCAGACGGATCGGATTGGCAAGGTGCTCAACGCCCTCGACATAGACCTGCTGCCCAAGAACAAGCCCAGCGCTCAACACCAACAATGGCAAAAGCAGGACCTCCAGACCGAGTGGCTCAGGTACATGAAGGGCCAGTACACCGCTATGCAGTCCAAGACCAACGGCCTCGTCGACGATTCCCTGCTCCTGATGAAGAGGGCGTGGGTCACGGCGGCAGAGAAGGAAAAGTGGGAGGACAAACCAAATGATTCGCCGGCCAAGCTGGCCGAGGACAAAGAATACTGGGATTTCATACAGGCCATCGAAGACTTCGAAACAAAGTGGAATGGGCTACCCGCGTGGACGAACCACTCTGATGACGACGACATCACAGCAGCAGCGGCGTCACCATCATTATCACCACTCCGGTTTGTAACTAAGTCCTCGTACATTCTTTCTTTATGACTAGATTTCCTTTAGTTTATTCTATGTTTTAGTTTATATTTTCCCGTAGTCTATATATCCCCAATAAGGGGAAAGATACTCGGCACGATTTCACATGTGTAATCAAAAGACACCAATTTTTCTACGTCAAAGTCTTATGGGATTTGTTTCGCTAGTAAACACGGGCAGGGCTGGCTTCTCTGTGTGGTGATACGATACAATATTAATTGTCTAGATATTATAACTACACCTTCCCCTCCTTAGTGATACTAAGGCAGAAATTAGCTTTACATGTAGATGCATTGTAAGGCTGGGGAAGCTTCGTGTGGCTTATACCGGCCTGTAGCCACTGCAAATGTGGCTCACCGAATGCATAGATATCCCCCTACATGTGTTTCTACCCGGAACAGGTTTTTACTTAGATTCTAGATAGGACAGCCATTTTTACATGCTTATGTACATACGCTACGGTTCATCGCGAGATATTTATGGACCATGTGGAACTAAAGACCTGGGAAGACTAGGACAGAGAAGTTTTACTTAGGACTTAAGCTTGTGCAAGCACCACTACCACCAACACTGCCACCTGCCTGCTCGTTATTTCTAGCAACAGCAAGTTCCCCTATAGTAGGTAAATCATACAGATATAAAAAGCTCTACCCTATTTATTTACATTCTGACAAGGTGCTTGTTATACTCACAACGTTATAGTAGGATGCTGTACTAGATTAGGATATTATATGTCTATAACTATATATTAGATTTCAAGGACAATAGTGCACTAATGTGAGCAGTAAACACGCTGCAAAGACAAAGTTAGGTATACCAGTAATGCTAAAGCTAAAAGCTGCTCTTTCTACTCTCATCCTGCACCTATTCTTGATGTCGTGCGAGATGCGCACTCGCTTTCCTATCAACTAGCCCCTCCATTACATAACCTACAGCTCTACTCTTACCAATCCGCCCAACTCCCCTCTGACACCAGACGCCTGTGTCTTATCATACACAATGCGTTTTCATAGCCACTAGAATCTGTAGGGCGCATCTTTATCAACTACGGCTTATAAACTTAAACAGCTTATCCCGTGTTTGCGCTTTTATATCTATTGCTTAATTGTTCTTTACATTAGCGTGCTACATTACACTCTAATTATTACTGTTTTACTACTAAATCATTTCATTCTGTTGCTCTAGTTAAGAAATTTCAACCCTAGAATAGAGCTCAGCACTTACCCGGCGTTACGATCAGCGCTTACCCCGGTATAAAGGATACATCCGGGTTGTAAGAATAGCAGCAGCAAACATAAGACCTTACAATCGCCCGTCATGTCACCAGTAGGAAGCACAGAAAGAGGCTTACTCTTAACATAGTCCATCTGTTTATCGCCTACCATGACATCACTATAACTTAGTAGCAGTCTAGCGTTCACAGAGATACGCATTAGCGTAAGAAGAGACAATAATAGACAACAAGACATTGAAAAGCTTTTGAGAGATGAATACCGTTTGGCTACTGTTGCTTCGACCTTAGGAGGTGTATTTTTCTGTGGGTGTAGCTATGTCCTCCACATGTAATTCCAAGGCAGACCATCTATCCAAGCAGTGTCAAACATTTATACATGTCCCGTTGTCTCCATGATCTCTTTAGTCGTCTTCGCGCTTTCCGTTAACGATGTTAAAGGTGCCGCCGGTGCCGTCGTCGCAACCCAGAACCCCCTTGGTCGAAGTAGTAGTGCACGACTCGCCCTCGTTCAGTTTGAGAGCGCCGTCGACAACGGGCGTGCCGGGCTCGAATTTTCCGGTGTCTGCCTGCTTCAGGGTGATGGCATCATCACCAAAAGCGCGGGCGTTAAGAGTCGGGGCCGTGGATGCAACACCGACGAGGAGGATAGCGATTGAGGACAGGGTGAACTTCATGTTGGGCGTTGGGCGGAGTGAGACTATTGTGCGTTTGCTCGAAGATTGTAAGGTTGGAAAGGTAACGGGCCTGCCGAATAAGTAGAAGCGAAGAAGAGATGATGAAAGACGTCTGGGTATATTCTGATTGTGTGCCTGTTCATGTCCCAAAGCTGGAGAGTGGCGAGCAATTTATATAATGATCGCTCGCTAGTTAAGTTAATCATATGTCTATCCGACTTACGTGGATCACCAAGATAGAGGTGGCCCTGCAGGGGTGCGTCGGACATGGAAACCGGGGTGCGTCCTTCTAGAATGCCAAGTCTAAATACGGTATAGCCGAGCTGATTCCTAAGTTGGATGGTACTTAGTACTGCATGTTTGACAGTGAAACTAGGTGCTGTATTTCCCAATGGCTAGGTTAGTATACAATGTAGTACGCCAAGCATACTAGCCAACCTCAAAGGCCTAGTTATACCCACTCTTTCCCCTTATCGTAAGGGGTATAATGCGGTACGTTATTTACCCCCCCTAGGTATTATGTTAATTCTGCTGCTTTCACTAGTACAAATAACATTGTTGCCTATGTTATGATGCGATCTTCTGAGTGTGAAGCCTCCAACGCCTCTGGCCCCTCTGTTGACACGGAGCTGTATAACCACTGGCATACTGCTGTAGAACCTTTTGGGCACGTGTACCTCTGACTATATGCTAAAGTAATGTAACCTAAGTACAGTCTAGCCCTACGAGCCTCCAGCAGAGTCCGGAGAGCCCGGTGTCTTGGTACCCTATGACATTGCCGGCCGAGATACCGAGATATAGGAGCTCCTGGCAGCCTCAGCAAAAGAAGACCTAGTAGGGCTGCTTAGACTGTAACATACCGTTATGTAACGATACATATTGCTATCACCTCTGTGGATGAAACAGTGGCTCTCAAATTTGCTCTACCCCTTATTTTGAGGTCATGGGGTCTAAGCGACATCAAAGAGTTGCCGTTACCAAGCCTACTGATTTGTGGGTAATATATAGGTCAAACCCACATATTTCAGGACAGCACTTAAGTCATTAAAGTACCTTTTAAAGTCCCTCGCACAGTTTACCAAGAAAAGAAGAAAATAAAGATATCTCTATTAGCTTAGGGTGCATCTAGAATATAGTAGTATAAATTAAATTTTCAATACATCTACCTCTAGAGACTTTATCTTTAGATTGTAGTAGTTAAGAGGCCTTGTATATACTATTAGAAAAGCCCTTTTTTTTACCTTAGGAGTTAAGGATTTAAAGTTAGTAGTATAGGGATAACAGAAGTGACTTAAGAGAAGGTAGGTCAGTACTTTAAGATAGTCTAAGACTGTGGGGGCCCCATGGCCCACAATATGCTTGGTAACGGCAACCCATCAAAGGTATAGTACGCCAAGCACTGTCGCGTGAGTCAGGCTACACTAGAAACTGACAGGTTTGATCGACGGTTTTAGGCTCAATAGAGAATTGATATTAATAAGTATAAGCTCTTGTATCCGTACATAAACCTTATATTATAGTAGCAGTTTTGAAGCCAAGGTAGACTCTCTACTTTCTGTTGATCTCGATGAGGATAACAGACATTCCTTACAAAAAGCTTTTGCATACAGACCACTGCTTGTATTCACTTATGCTTCCATGCAATTCCCATCGTATCGCTCTTTAACTCCCCTTTTCTTGTCAGGGGCGATAGTGTTGTAACATTTACTAAGTAGCCATTACGAAAAGGTTGAGGAGCATTATTCCTCGCTCGTGATCATGCCGGGCAACCAGGCCAGGGAATAAGACTCCACGACCATAACAGGAATTTTGTAATAATACAAAGCTGAATCATGTCCTATCACGCCATTCTGTCTCTCTTTGGTCTGGTGCGTTCTATTATGCCTTGGTGGGTCAGACATTCTCCCTGTTCTTCCCATAACTTGACTAACCACCCGACCCTACTTGCGAGACACCCCTACATCCGAGACACCCGTAAATGCCGCATCATCAACACCACCACCATTTTCAAACCACCACAACAATTGCCATGTATCGCCAAACAACACCATTTTGTCGGGATACCTCCAACCCATCAGAAAGCAGGATAACAAGCCTGAGCTCTAACGGGCCTTGTAGAGGTGCTAGACGTTGCTAATAGACCTCGGTTCTGCCCAAGCCCCGCTCTACCCACCTGCCCGATTAGGCTGCTGGACGGCTGCTCTCCACCACATGGCATCAGTTGCCGAATGCAACTGACTCAAGCGGGCCAGTCTCTTTATGACCCAAGGGACCGGCTACAGAGGCAGGCGCACGTCGCGTGTTGTTAACGATAGCGGTCACGAGGGTTATTAGCGTTTTTACAACGTAATTACCCTCGTCTAACATGTACCTACTAATGGTGGTGCTGTTGGCACTTCAAGGAGGAGAAGTCCCACGTTAAGGGGAGTCTTCCCGCTCGCTGCTTATTTGGCCCTTTGGAAAGCTCTTAATCAGCAGGTCCGGCCGGCGAATAAACGGCGGGTCCATTCCAGCTCGGGGCGGTATGTTTCCCCCATCCCGAACAAGGAGATTCAATGGCACGCGGCATCTTAGTTTTCCGTGGTGTGGCGGAGGGGCAGTGGCGGTGCCGGTGGCTGCTCCTACCGGGAGCCACAGTTGGTCCCCACACGTGGCATTTGACATGGCAAACTACCACGTCAATTCGCTGATTAGTTTGTAGCCTGTGTGGCCCTTACCACCGCCATATGCATCATGATATTACAACATTAGCGTGTTGGGTCAACTTGGGGGCCCTGACTGCTTAGCGCCGGGATTGATGCTAATAGTAACAAGGACGGAACAGTCCCGGCCATCTATTCAGGACTCAATAGTCGGTCTGATGTGGAGGAGCAGCGAAAGCAGCCTCAGATAAACAAAACTACAATGAGACAACCTTTTGATAGCTGATGGAATTAAAAAGATGTACGATGCTGCTTTTGGGGTTGTTTGTATATTTCATTACACTAGATACTGGACAATGGACTGTGATACTTCTCCCATTTCTGGTTCCCTTAAAGATAGCACTTCGTTACAAATTCTGACTTGACCTTAAATCAAATCAGTAAAAACATCATTTTGCATCTCCAAATTTTGTGACATTTGAATAGTAATACCCAACGTCAGTGAGTAGGAAATGATACAGATCACAACTTTCATCCCAGTCTTGCGCAAGAGCCATAAACTGGCATAAAGCAGTAAACTCCAAGTTTTTGAGTTTTACTTTGTTAGTATCACAGGGATCGCAATCAAGGTAGCCGCAATAGTATTAATTGACTATTAGTAGCTAGGTAAAGATCATGATAAAGGAAAAGAGAAGAGGTTACTGCTGTAGGTATTTATAGTAGTGTAAGTAAGCCGCTAGGGTAAGTTACGTAATAGTAAATTATATAACTATAGATTAGCTCTACTATTAAATAGTTAAATATCCTAACACTAGTAACTTTCTAAAGTAAAGGAAAATTACTATAAATAGCCTAGATACTGCCTAGTAGCTAAAAAGCTTAAAAACGTAATAAAAATTAAAAGCCTAAAAGTATTTAATACTTTTTGTTTATATAATCTATTATATAGCTTAAGAAACTTATTCCTTTATACTAATCTAAACTATCCTATTTCTAACTAGTTATTCTAGCGCCTTATTAGGTAATAATTTAGTAAATCTATTAGTAGGATTATTATTACTTTATATTTATTATACCTTATAGACCTTATATTACTTATATAACTACTAGAGGGCTATAATATTAATTATAAGCCTTTTTTTTTTATAGTCCTAAGCTTAATAAGGTACTTATAAAGTAAGTATAAGTTAGTATAGAGGATTATTAGTATATATAGTAGCTTAAGGCAGTTAGTAATTATTATAATAGTTATACTAAGTGTATAGGTAACATTAGTACTAGTAACTATACTATAGATCTTAGAGGCTAGTACACTTTAGGTAACTTACTTACACTTTATTAAGCTAAAGTAAATAATATTACTAGTTATAGTAAATTTATTACCTATAGTAGTACTTATAGGTGCCTTATTAGTAAGAATAATAATAAATCCTAGCTATAAAGTAAAGTCCTTATTATTTATAAATAATCTATTTATAAAAATAAAAAGCTTTATAAATTTAAGGTTAAGTAAATAAAATAACAGACTATAGTTAAGGTTATTTATTTACTATATAATAGTATTATTAGTCTGTATACTAATAATCCTAAAGTCTAGGCTCTCTATATTAGTAATTAGTAGGTATAAATTAAAAGTTAAAGTCTTTATCTAGAGCTTTTCTTTATAGTAGTAACTATATATTACCTACTAGTAAGTGCCTGCCTCTATAATACTATATAACAGCTTTACTATTTATATAATAATACCTTTTAGATAAAGGTCCTATATTTATAATAGAAGGTATATAAGAATTATATAATTTAATAAGGTAGTAAACTATATATACACCTAAGTAATATTATATAACTAGAGTAAGAAATTATTATTATTATAAATAAGGGATAAGGTAAAGGTAAGAATAAGGCGCTAGCTAGCTTACTAGATTATAAGTAACTAGGTAAAAATTACTTCTTTACTATTATTAGTATATCCTTAGATAACTAGGTAAGATTTCTTATATAGTTTTTTATTCTAGCCTTTTACTTTATTAATAATCTATAATTTAAATATTTATACTCTAGTATGCTTATTCTTATTATATTAAATAAAGTAAAATACCTTATAGGTAATAAGCCCTTTAATTTTAGTAGTAGTTACTTACTTAAAGGGCTTCCCTAAGGTAGTAATAATACTCTTTTTTTATAGTTTAATTAATAATAGTTAGTTAGCTTTTTCTTTTATTAAGACGTATACTATACTTATAGTAGTAAAGAAGGTAGTAGGCCTAATAGTAAAACTAGTTTTATTAAAGAAATTAATATACCTCTATAAGTAGCTAGCTTTTTACTTTAGCTATAGGTGTATAGTAATAGTAATAC